AAAAGAAAAGGAAAGAGAAAGCACAAAGGGAAAATGAGAGGATGAGAAAAGAGAAAGAAAAAGAGAACGAAGGGGAAAGAGAAATAGAGAACTAAAAGGACCAGGAAAAAGGAAAATGAGAGAAAGTGAAAAGAATAGAAAGAGAAACAGGAAAGAGAGAAAGAAGAGAGAAAAGTAAAGAGGGAGGGACAGAGAGAAGGGGAGGCTTAAAGTGAAGAGAAGAGACAGAGAAGAGAAAACTGAGGGAGCAGGCACTCAGCTGAGCTAAGGAGGAGCCGAGCCTGGCCTCCTGCACACTTTTATGGGGCTCACACTATGTCCCAAGGGACACAATTAATACAACGAGCTTTAATGCTAATAACTTCAGTAGTCAGGGGCTCCTTGCCTAGGCTGATGGTCAGAGACAAGGGAAGGGGCTGGAATCAGACTTTCACATCAGCTGAAGAGCAGAAGGGGCAGAGGCCAAGACCCCTGGCCTTGAGTAACTGGTGCTGTAGCTGGTGGCTGTGGGCTAACTTTCTTGCAACTTTAATAATTTTCAAGCCACTTGCTTGAAAATTAACTCTTAGTTAAGAGTCCTGGCCCTTCCTGGGTAGCCACCAGTGAGCTTGTTCAAAGTCATAGCCTGCCCCTCTTCTCCTGTTTTCACCAAGCTGCTTGCCCAGCCTTCCTTGTGGCACCTTTGTCCTTCCTCTACATCCAGAAGGAAGGTGTCCCAGGTGGCTGGGATGCACATGAAGAAACGTCTGAATTTTCCCAGTCAACATACTCTGCCTCCTCCGGCACCATCCCCATTCCTTTGCAGCCCCATGAGGAATGCCGAACAAGGAAAAGATGAGGACAGAAGCCACAGACTTGCAGGGGAGTGAGGATTCGATCTTGACCTCTATTCATTTCCTCCTGGTTAAGTCTGTAACCTTTGAGTCCAGGTTCTGCTTAGACCCAGGTTGATTGTAAGCCTGGCACGAAGTGACGGTTAAGTAACTACACAAATGCCAGCTGCTAATAGGACCCTGAGAACATGGGATTAAATGCTATATGGAATTGTGTTTGCAAGCACAATTCTAAGAAATATCCAGAAATTATTTTGCGTGGCCACATGCAAAGGTTATTGGTGCCTTCTAACCTGTAGTGATGATCAGGAAGAAGGTGGAACTCTTATTAGAAAATACAGACTGCTGTCAGGCATGGTGGTGGCTCACGCCTTTATTCCCAGTGCTTGGGAGGCAGAAGCAGGTGGAGCTCTGGAATTCAAGGCCAGCTTGGTCTTACAGATTTTTGGTTCCTTTTTAGAGTTAGTGGGTTTTTTTTTTTCAGGAGTGGGGTTAGTGGGAGTGGGGATGAGCTGTTAACAACTGTCCCCTATGAATTGTGCCTGGGGCTCTGGGACACTGGGCTGTGTGATGCTTGTCAGGCTCAGGTGCTGGAGATCCAGAAAAGGAGGGAAGCAGGGAGAGGGTGGGAATAGAGGCAGTCAGTAATTTACTAGGCAAGAGGTGGGAGCCTTTCGTCAAATACTGGGCAGCTTGGCTGTCGCTATTAGTCCTGGCTGTGAATCAGTCAGAAGGCTTCCCACGAGGCTGCCCTTCTCCTTGAAGATTAATATCTGTCTTCAGCAGCCAGAGCTGCTCAGGCAGGAGGAAGTCAGGATGCTGAAACCTGACAACAAGGAAGTGCCTAGAATTAGTCACTGCAGCAGCTGCTGCCAGGCTGGAGCCGAAATGTAGGGAGGGGCCAAGTCCTCTGGGGAAGGCTGTACATGGAATGACAGTTTGCCTAGCACTTCTTGTCCCTGGTGGTTGTTGGGCGCGTCACTGCTCTGGAGTTGGTGGATGGCTATCCAGAGTACAGTCTCAGGGCAGGCTGTTGACCTCTTTGTGAATATGGTTTCTTTGTTTTCTGATCCTTTGCTGTCACATCCTGGCTGGATACCTACATTCACAAGTGAGGCTCTCTCTTTCTCTCTGTCTGTCTGTCCCTCTCTCTGGAGACATGGTTTCACTATGCATCTTAGCCTAGCTTGGAATTCAAGGTTACAGCCTAGGCTGGCTTCTGACTCATAGAAATCCTCCTGCCCCAACCACCTGAATGCTTGAATTACAGGCCTGTGCCACCACGCTTTGGTTGGAAAGGGTGTTTCCTGTACGCAGGTCTGGCTCTTCCAACTTTTCCATGGTATTTCCAGTTGTCTTTCCCTGTGTGTCTCAGCTACCAGGCCGGTAATGTGATGGTACCACGTGGTAGAAGAATCCAGACTCTTGACACCAGTATGAAGAACTTTGAAGACCTGCCTGGGGCTGGGACACGGAGGTCACAGTGGTCTTGTTACAGACTGGTGGTCTTATGGTGATGTCCCTTGCCCAGCTCACTTTCACTGGGAAAGGGCCTGGGTTTGAGTATGTGGTTTAGGTCACAAGGAGTCCTGAGTACTGGCTGTCAGAGTGGGGTTGGTGACCTCTGCTCTTGGAGAAAATGGTAAAATAATAAAAGCACGGGTTAGGAGCCACATGGTCTTAAGCCACCAATGTTTTAGCTGTATAGAAGACTTGGCCTTGGAGACCCCCAGATATGGCTTAGAGCCTCCTGTTTGCTGACATTGTTGAGGACTGAATGATGTTTTTTGATGTAGCTTGGTTAAAACTCTCCATGCAGCTTGGTTCTCACTGTGACTCTCCCCGACTCCATTCATAGACTACTCTGTGCAGGGGAACAGTTCTATTAGGTTTTTGACCTTTCTTATGGCTAAAGAAGAATTTGCAGATTACAGAGGTTTCTCAGGAGCATGGAGACTAGACATCAGTCAGACCTCAAGGGCCACTCTATTCCTTGGCCCATCCTTCTCCGGGCACCCTTCGTCTGTCACTTGGCATCTGGATCAGCCCACAGCTTTCCTCTGTGGGACGTTCTGTCACATAGAGACAGGCAGAATTAATGCAAGGCTCCAGTCCAGGGGAGAAGAATATCTCTCCCTGTTACAGATAAGCTATTATCTGCCATCTACCCCTAAATGTCACCCAGCCCCTAGATGCCACCTACCTCTAGATGCCACTTAGCCCTTAGATGCCATCTACCCCTACATGCCACCCAGCCCCTAGATGTCACCTAGCCGCTAGATGCCACTTAGCTCTTAGATGCCACCTAGCATGAAAATAAGATTGGGACTTTGGAGGAGGTGGGAGTTGGTAGAAGTGGGAGGAGGGAAAGCACAGAGCTCGGTGGCCAAGCCTTGGCCTGAGTGTCATTCCCAAAACCCACATGGTGGAAAGAGAGACCCTACTCCCCCCTCATTGTTCTCTTACTTTCACTTGTGCAATGTATCATCAGCATTGCTATACATAATGAATGAATGAAAGAAGACCCAAATGTTTACAAAAGAGAATAAGTAGGGCAAGTGTGACCAGGATGTATCATATATGCATATGGAGTTGTCAAAGAGTAAATCGATAGTAAAATCCCCAGATGTCCCCGATCATTTGCTCACTAGATTGAGCCTTAGTTTCCTTGTCTGTAAGTGGGAATGACTTGCCTAGGAGAGCTGTTAATACTGAGAGAGAAGTGTGCAAAGGGACACAGCATTAAGAAAGGGTTTGCTGGCTCCCTGAGCACTGCTCCTCAGACAGTCTCCATCTGTATTGTCTTTCCCTGATCTTGCAGCTCCCTTTCTCTGCCCTTTGGTAATTCTCTATAACAAGAGGCACCAAAGTGCAGAACAGCTCGAGGCTCCTCGGGTCATATAGAGTTTGATTTAAATCACAGGCCAAAGCGACACACAGCATCATTTCCTCTTTCCTGTTCAAAGGGGGATTTTCCTAATGCCATTCAAATATTGTCACCACTGCTCAGGGAGACAGACACATTCAAGAGGTAGCGATAACCTTTGAATTTTAAAAATTAACTATAGGAGAGCTGGGCATTGTGGCTTACACGTGTAATCCCGGAATTTAGGGAGGCTGAAGTAGAAAGATTGTCATGAGTGTGAGGCCAACTTGGACTACATACTGAATTCCAGAGAGCTGGGTCTACAGAATGCGATCCCATCTCAAAAAAGCTAAGAAAAAAAAAAAGAATTTTAACTATAGTAGTATATTCTTCACATAAGGGAATTGTCTAATGATTGTTAGCTGACTTGACCAAATCACTCGGGTCCAAAATTAGTAGCCTCACTGGGAGAGAAGGAATGTATTTACATTTGCAAGTTGGGTTTGAATAGTAATTTGGGTTTCGCTTGATCCTAAAAATAAGCTAGAGTGAGCACTTCTTACCCCTGTCCACAGAGGATGAAGCAGTTCCTAGGAGATCTTATCAGGCAACGTGGGAAAACACTGATTTTGTGTCTCTGGGAATTTTTTTTTTTTTTTTATAGTTGTGTTAGGATTCTTGTTTCTCTCCAAATGGCAGTTGATTTACAAGCCAGTAAGCTTAGTATGTAGCTGTTTACACATCTACTGCCCACGGCTGCGTGAGAGTGTGGCAGTACGGCAAGTACGCATGTGTGTGCGGTAGGTATGCCTATGTGTGCATGCATGTGTGTGGCATGTGCACCTAGGTATGCGCATGCATGGATGGGTGTGTTATATGTGTGTGTGTGTGGTGTGTACAGGGGTGTGCAGACGCATGTGTCTTTATCCGCACACAGTAAAAGTTAAGACACTTTCCACCGCAGGTCAGAATAACAACTTGAGGATATTGGGTTATGAAGTTAATTCAGCCTCTAGAGTCTTCCCGTTTATTCTTTACTTATAAAAACAACAACAACAAAAAAAAGGAAGGTGAACTCCCTTGCCTTTCCTCATTCCCCAGAAGGCTTTGCTCAAAGAAACAATTCCTTGTGTCTACAGAAGAAACTGTGACTATTAGAAGCTAGATTACCATTTCAATGGCTTCTGACATTGAGGGGTTTTCAAACCATTCCAGCAGGGCTGATTTGAAGATTTAGATTAAAAGCGGGCACTGTAGTGGGTGTCCCCTACATGAGCTCATTTACATTCGCAGCAGTCTCCCCTGCCCCTAGAGGCACTGCAGGCGTGGCTGCTGTGTCACGCTTGCAACAGTAGGTGGCAGAAAGGAGAGAAGCTGTGTCTGTGCTCCTCGTCCTGACCCTTGAGCACCTGAATGATTAGTGAGTAGCCTCACGCTCCCTGAAAAAAGTGAGCCCGACAGACCACAGTCTGAGATGACTTCAAGTCTCCTGCTGCACAGGCCCAGACAGGCTCCCAGGGCAGGGAGTGAGCCAAGACTAGAAGAACCCTACCTGGACTGCTGGCCCCAGGTGGGAGTGAGCCCAAGACAGATGACACCTGCCTGCCCATAGGGCCTCACGCGTGGGCCTGGGGGAGCTCAAGACAGTCACCAGTCCAGCACCATGGAACTAGCCTGAGATGACCACCAGTCATCACTACACAGGCCTGGGGTTGGGACAGACCATGCCTGAGATGACTACTGCCAAGTGCCATGATGCTTAGGCAAGGGCATAGCACTCCTGAGACCACCGGCGAGATGACCCCAGACGCTCAGAGACCCCTGGTGCCACTAAGAGGAGCAAGTAAGTGGTAGAGAAATGGAAGACAAAGAAAAACAGAGGATGTGGGCACAATGAACGAAGGCTTGAGGGTCATGAGGAACAGCCTGATGTGAGTAGCCAGTGATGTCACCTGAGACCACGGTGGGGTCCTGTGCTGCTACGGAGGGCCATATCTGGGTCCATGGCGCTGCAGTAGCAGGGGTCTGTTACCACCAAAGGCCAGGTGTTGATGTCTCTGATCTGGGCTGCCTCCTGGGGACATGTTGATGTCTGAGGGCCGTACGGAACTGGTCTTATCCCTCTCCTGGAGACCTTGGAAGAGCTGGCACGGAAGCATGTGAGAGCAGGACAGCTGCCCCTGTCCCTCACCTGCTGCAGCACTTGGGAGAACAGGCCCTGCCCCTCACCTGGGCGCACAGTAGAGCTGGCCTTGGATGTGAGGGTTGAGGGTTAGCCAGCCCTGAGGACAAGAGTGCAGGAGAGCCGAACCTGACTCTTGTCTAAAGTGCAATGGGGAAAGATGTCCTTCCCTTCCTCGTCTCTTGTCACCTATGGCAGGTGGGAGAGCTGGGTCTGGGGTCCTGAGAGTGGGAGAACTAGTTCTGTCTTTTGCCTGCTGCAGCAGTTGGGAGAGTGGACCCTGCATCTTGCCTGGGCAGCACAGTAGAGCTGGCCCTGATGGTGTGGGTGTGGATGACCCAGCCCTGAGGACCCGAGAGTGGGAAAGCTTCTTGCTGCTTCTTGCTGGTAGCATTGGATGGGCCATCTGGGGCAGGGCAGGAGAGCTCACCCGGATGGTGTGGGTGCGGGAGAGCTCTCAGGCTACCAGCTCAGATAACTCTCAGGGCCAGATCCAGGGCTTTGAATTGGACCACCTCAACATCGATACACTGCTGGAGTTCATGAAGGGGCTTGTTCTACAGATACAAAACTACAGCATTTCCATGACACAGGGCAAGAACAGGATATGTGGGAGGAGTCCCAGTGAGGTTCCAGTATTGATAAGCGTAGTGGACCAATGACTCATTGCAATGGACATTTGCAAGCAAAGAAGTGTGGACAAAAGGATATACTGTGTGACCAATTGTGACAGACTACAGCTTCCACAATGAGATTTTTTTCCCTCTGTTGGGGAAGGGGGGAGGTTGTGAGAGTGGAAGATGAGTATGAGGGGACCAGGAGACGGATGGCATTGGGGTGCATGTAGTGAAATTCACAGAGAACCAATAAAAAGTTTTTTTAAAAAAAAACTCACAGCAGTTTTGTGGGGGAATTGTGACCACTTTTTTTTTTTTTTTTTTTTTTTTTTTTTTTTTTTTGTGGATGTGCAAATAAAGGCTGCGAGAGTTTAGGTTGTTTATACCTGGGATGTTGCCATGAAGTGGTGTGGCTTTTCTGAAATATTTTTACAAAATCATCCTTATCCCTGGAATGAAGTTTCTTAGAGCTTAATAACTTAGAATTTAATTTGACTTCGAGTGGGATTTTTTTTTTGTATTTTTATTAATTATTTTTTTAATTTTTATTTTTTTAATATTAGTTACAGTTTATTCACTTTGTATCCTAGCTGTATCCCGCTCCCTCATTCCCTCCCAATCCCACCCTCCCTCCCTCATCTCCTTCTTGTCCCTTTCCAAGTCCACTGATACGGGAGGTCCTCCTCCCCTGGGCTTTTCTTTTCTTAATTCTTGAAATTAACAATTAACTTTTCAATTGTGAATTGGTAAGACACAGGGACTCTTGTGTCAAATGGGAAGAAAGTAGGCTTTTGTAGTGAGGTAAAATTACTAGTTAGGAATCATATGGCTTTGAATAAGATACAAATGTTATCTGAAGTTCAGCCTCTAAAAAATGAAGACAACAGTGTCTGATTCACTCCCTAGACATGGCTGGGTGAAACAAATGATTAAAGAGGTCTAAGAGTCAACCTCATGGTTAGCAGTTAATAAAGTTTAATTCTGCCTTCCTTTTTATTTCTGGTCACCAACTGAATATCCTCCTATTATCACACATTTTCTTCTCAGACTTTCTGCTAACTTTTTCACAGTAGAAGTCTTAGTGATAATATTTAAACATATACATGATGTGGGGTTAACCGGACAGCATAGCAGGAGAGCATAGCCCTGAAGGACTGGGTTGAGTCCCTAGCATCCAATACATGCATGTATATGCAGTAACTACTATTTATTGTTTTACTATACTTTCCCTTTGAATTCTCAGCACAGCCTTATGAGGACAACATCATCGCTAACGCATCTGGTTACCGAGCGGATGGCATCTAAACCCCTTAGCCTCCAGCAGCTTTGTGCAGAAGAGTAGAATAGAGACTTCTAACTGGGCTGGTGAACCTGAGGCGAATGGAAAAAAATGAGTTGTGAGCTGAGTCTGGAAGCCTGAGCATTTGCCTAGCATGTATGAATGGAGGTTCAATGTCTAGTATGTATGTATGGAGAGGGGGGGTTGGATGAACCCTAATTCCATAAGGAACCAACCCCAGAAGGCACCACATTCACCCACACCCAATCCTTACAAGATCAAAATATGTACACGTGGATTGTTGGCTCTTGGCTATAGTTTCTGCCCCTGAAATTCTGATTTTTCATTCTGGTCAGTTTTTTCTTTAATACCTAATACTGCTTGATTTTAAATCATATATTTAGTTATTCACTTGTTATCTGTTTTCCTTCAATACAATGAAAAAAAAATCAGGGGAACAATTCTATGGAGTCTTTGTTTTGTTCCCTGATGAATCTCTAGGCTACTACTTGCAGGTCCAGAGTAAATGCTCACAGGCAATTTTGAATAAGCTGCCAATCATGTGTTGTGCTTAGCCCAGAACCCTGTGATATTTGAAAAAATTTAACCTTAATTCACTTAACAAATATTTCATGCTTATCCCTACCAAATGCCCAACGGGCCCTGGGAACAAAACATGGACTGTGCATCATACATCTCACCCCTACAAGAAGTTGTGAAGGCCACAGACTGAATTGGTTGTGTTTGTGTTCCAGTTCCTGCAAATGGCAGACCTCCAGAGAGGCTTGTTAGGTGAAAGAGCGAGTGGCTCAGCCTGTGAGGAAGGCAGCATTATAATGTGCAGAGGAGGAGATGGAACCGCATGGTTTTGACTCAACATTGCAAGCAAAAAGCCAGGCTTGTGAGCAAGCAAGAGACACTTCTCTTTAGTGATGACCGAGACATGCCATGGGTGGTTTGGGCTTTCCTCTGATTCTGGCCTTTGAGGGCAGGCTCGTGCCTGTTTCTCTTACCTTAGTGTCACTGGTGCCTGCATATTACCTGGCTGAGTGCACTGGGAACACAATCCGTTCATGTGCTGTGTGAGCGAATGGCTTCCAAAAGGCAACTATTTTAAGAGTGTCTATGACAAACTTCTTTAGGCATTTTACCTTTTGAGAAATACCTTATTTGTGTTCCAAAGTCTGTGCTGGTCAGTGAGTGTCTTTAAAAGCTCACTTGAACTTTTTCCTTCTCCTTTTTGGGGTTTGCAAGTTGAACATTCACATTGCTGTCTGTTCCCCACTGACATGGCTAGGGTTAATGGCATATTACCCCCAGGTGGGTGATGGTACTTAAAGTTTTTGTTTTCTGTGCTTGAGTACTGGGCTGTCTGGTCAGTTTTTACATACCCACAGAAGTAGCTGAGAGAAACACTAGCTTGCTGTCTCAGATGATTTTTCAACATGACTGGATTAAGAAACATCTAGGCCTGAGGGCGTCAGTGAAGGACAACTTTAGATACATGCCTGTGAGAGTTCACAAAGAGTAGAGACAGAGTAGGGGAGACCCACTTTGAAGGAGGGAGCACTCCCATGGGCCGGGCACCAAGCTGAATACAATGGGAAAAGCGAGAAAACCATCTGCACACAGGCACCATCTCTCTCTGCTTCCTGATTTGCCCAGATGTGAGCAAGCTACGGTTGCCACAGCTACATGATTCCTCTACTGCCATGCTTTTCCCACCAGGATGTGCTATATCCCCCTAAATGGGGGGTCAAAGCAAATCTTTTCCCTCTCCTGTTATCACTTTCTCCTCAGTATTTTTTTACGGTAGAAACACAGCATATGGAACTTGCAGGCTCTAGGGTCACCTGCTAAGGGTCAGACCTCAACTGGAGCATTTACTAGCCATGTGATCTTGGTTCAGTTGCTAAATTTTGTGCTTTATTATTCTCACCAGCAAAATGGCTGTAATTATCAAATATGCGTTATTGGTATGCATATGTGCATGTCTCACAGAGAACAGTACTGGACATATGGACACTGAATAAATGTTAATTGTGTGACCAGGCAGCTATCAGTTATGTATTCATAAACAAACCTTCCTGCTCTCTATTAGGATGTAGACGCCTTGTTCAGTACTGGGTGTGCAATAAGACACAATCACGCCCTTCAATTTTAGGCGAAGAGAAAAATTTAAAAACGGGGGGGCAGTTATTGTGTAGTGGTTGAGTTTCGGAAGATGGGAGCTGACAATACCTTGGAGGTACACATCAATAACAGCTTTTAATATTGTTGCTAATATTCTCTAGCCCAAGGAAGGCTAGGGAACAGTTCCAGCTAAGTCTAGAAGGGTGACCTGGCATTGAACACTGGA